CGACGGGGGCTCGGAGACTCCCGAACGCTAGCCGCTGCCTCCGGGAGCCCGAGAGCCCGCCCCGCGCGCCGCCGCGCCGGCCGGGGCGTTTCTATGGAAACGCGGCGCGCGCCCCCACGGTCAATGCCCGAGGCGGCCAGTGCCCAGCCGGAGCGGGAGYAGAGCAACGCCAGGAGGGACGGCGACCACGTGCCCACCCGTGCAGGCCAGCGGGCGCCGGCAGCGGATGGGAAGGCTGGACCTTTCATCTTACCTATGCACTGCTCTTACCAAACCCCCTGTGTCCAGTTCTTAAGCAAAGGAGAGAAACGCCAATCAACTAGGAACCAGGAGGGGGACCTAAAACTAAAGGCAAATGGAGTCCAGGCTCTGCTTATGCGAAATTAAGTCTCCTAACATTCTTGTCTGTCTGCATTTCTCTGTGTTGAATATGAAAATGTGGACTCTTGGAAGGTGCCTTTGGAAGAAGTGCTTACCACGTAATTTTTAACCTTTTATTTACTCAGCAAGTAATTATTGAGTTCCTACTGTGTGGAAAAGCTTGTGTTAGATGCTGGGAGCAATTCAAAGATGAGAACCAGGGGTCCCTGGCCTGAAGAGCCTGAGAGTTTGATGTGGAGACAGACATTTCAGCTGTTAAAAAGACACTGAGATAATAAACAGATTTTTTTTTTTTTCCTTTTGAGCACCCATGTCCTTTCTATCCTCTTGGCATTTGCTTAAGCTGCACTTCCAAACAAACCTGAGGTCTAAATTCAAGCTTTATTTGCCTCAAGAAACCCCTCTGGACTTCTCCCACACTTGGCTCTTCCAGGCAGTCTGGGGGTCCTTTGCAGCAGTACACTGTGCTGATTTTTTACTGTTCCTTGACTTTAAGCTCTTTGAGGAAGTGGAAATGTGGTTTTGCTCTTGTATTTCTCAGGGCCTCATGTGACAGGATGAAAATGTATTTTGCACAAATGGATGTCCCTAAGACCTTTATTACCTCACCTTTAGAACTTCTCTTACTCTCTTGTTACAAAGTGTTATCTCTCTTCCCCCCTTATATTCAGTCAGCAAGTTAGCTGTTGAATGCCTGCTGTGTTTCAGGTACTAAGCTCTGAGAATGGTGTGATTACCTGAAGTCAGAAGAGTATTTGCTTTTATAAAGCTCATAGTCTTAGGGAAGGGATAGATGCTAATCAAACAAACAAATATATGTAATTAAGGTATATATTTTTGTATCAGCTTTTGCTGTGTAATAAGTCACAACAAAACTTAGTGTCCTACAAAAATCCTTTGGCTAACTCAGGATTCTGATTGGGCTGGGTACTACTTGGGTTCTGTTCTGGTAAGCCCGTGCTGGGCCAGCTGATCTTGGTGTGTCAGCTGATTTGGTTTGGTATGGTTTGTATGTGTTCCCTAAGGGTTCATGTGTTGGAGGCTTGGACCTCAGTGTGGCAGTGGGAGGTGGACCTTTAAGAGGTGGAGCCTAGGGTTAGGACCTTCAGTCTTTGGGGCCCTGCCCTTGGAAGGGACTAAAGAATTTCTGGTGGGATTCTGGTTAGTTCTCTCAAGAGGATTGTTTTAACGCCAGAGTCAGGCCACACTCTGATATGATCTTTTCCTCCCACGTGTGCTCTTGTGACTCATTCTGCCATGAGATCATCCCTAGATGACCTAGGTGGAGCAATTGGGTTCTATACCCTTAAACCTCCTGGTATGCATGTTTTAGCCAGCTTTTTGCTGCTGCGACAAGAACAACTTTTGAAAGGAGAAGCTTATTTGGGCTCAAGGTTTCAGAGATTCTCAGAGATTCAGAGCCGACTCCATTGGCTCTGGCCAAATGAGGCATCCAGGCTGCAGAGACAGGGGAAAGGTTCCACAGGGAAGATGAATCCTTTCTGGGTTTGTCCCCAGAGACCATCTTCCTCCAGCCATGTCCCGCCTGCCTCCAGTTACCACTCAGACATTTAAGCTAGGATGGGTTAATTATGTTCCAGCTCTGACAATCCAATTATTTCACCTTCTAACATTCCTGCATTAACATAAGAACTTTTGGAGGACCTTATATCCAAACCACAACCTGACTCTGAACTAAATAAACCTTTATTATTCAAATAAAATTAGGCTGCCCGAGTTATTTTATTATAGTAATGCAAACCAGACTAGTACAGTGTCTTGGGGTAGGCAGCCTATTGGCAGGAGCTAGCCAGGCCTATTCATGTGGTTTCTGGGTTTCAAATCATCAAGACAGTACAAGTCCCACTGCACAAGTGCCTTTCAAGCCTCTACCTGTGTCATATTTGCTGATATCTTTTTGGTTGATGCAAGGCACATGGCCCAGACCAGATTCAGAGTGAGTAGGAACTACTGTTGTTAAGGGTAAGGGTAGTTGGTTAAGCGAAGGAAAGAATTAGTGCCACTTTTGCAATCTAACATGGGCACTCAGGGAACTACATTGCCGCAGTCTGGCTGGGCACAATTCAGGAGCHACTTGTCAAAAGAAACAAACTTTATTTTTAAAACTACAAACGCCAAACAAAACAGCTCCTCAGGAAAAACCCTCAGAGCCCAACTGCCACCACCGGCTTCCACACGCCTCACTCACACACCAACCACCACCTCCCCCAATCCTCCTGCTCTTGAGGCCGATTGGCTAGGTCGCGTGGGCGGAGCCAAAGAAGTCCCCCAATGAGCAGTTCCGTAGTCTGAAGGGCAGGGAAACAGCCCAATGAACATGACCGCAGAGGAGCCAATCAGCTAGATGTTGCTGGGGCCACTGTGAGCCAATCATCAGCTGGCAGCTTGAAGGGCAGGGAAACAGCCCAATGAACATGACTGCAGAGGAGCCAATCAGCTAGATGTTGCTGGGGCCACTGTGAGCCAATCATCAGCTGGCAGCTTGAAGGGCAGGGAAACAGCCCAATGAACATCACCGCAGAGGAGCCAATCAGCTAGATGTTGCTGGGGCCACTGTGAGCCAATCATCAGCCGGCAGCTGGAAGTTTGCTGGCAGCTGGAAGTTTGCTGGGGCCCCTTTGGCTGTGGCTCTCAACATCCATGACACCAAGGGAATACATCCTAAAAAGCTTTGGTTTGAATTAGTTGAAGAAGGACTTCATTGAGAAAGTGACATTTGAGCTGAGATCTGAAGAATGAGAAGGGGGGTTAACTAGGTGATAAGGGAGTGTCCAATGAGAGGGACAACCTAGGCAGATTGTCTCCTTCTTCCTCAAACTCATTCTCATTTCTACCTAGAATTTCCATATCTCAGAAAATGGTACTAACTTCCAGCTGATTGTTCAGGTCACAAACCTAGAGTCATCCCTTCTCTTCCCCATCCACACTGCCGATTCCCATCGGTTCCACCTTCAAAACATCATGAATCCTTCCTTCTTCATTTCTCGTACACCCCCATAATCTAAGCTACTATCATCACTCACCTACTGCAACACCTCCCCCCCCTTTATCAATCCCCTACATCCACAATTACACACAGCAGTGGATAATAAACATGTAAATCAAATCATGTCAACCCTTCAAAGCTCCCAGTATGCTTTAAATAAAAATTTAAATCCTAATTCTGGCCATTAAATAATTTGTATCTCATTCCCACCTACCTTCTTACTGCCCCACTGTGCAAGGAGCAGAGGCTCCTTGCATGGATCAAGCTTATTTCAGTTTTGTTTGTCATTTTCTCTGCCTGCAATACTTCTTCTTCAGGTCTTCACACAGATGATCCCTTTTTATCATGGGATCATCCTACAGAAGCACCTATAGAGTGAGGTTTTCTCTGATTATCAAATTGTTGTCTTAGTACTCAGTTTTGTTTCTCTTGAAGCACATATCACTTTCTGAAATGAACCTGTTTGTTTACATGCTAATATGCTATTTCTGTTCCCATGACTAGGATATATTCCCCTTGAAATTAGGTACTTTCCTATATTGTTCCCATTATATTTCTGGTAATACCCATAGTAGAAACTAAACAATTACTTGATGTTTTCATCAGCTTTTTCACTGCTGTGACTAAATGATCTGACCAGAAAACTATAGAGGAAGAAAAGTTTATTTGAGGGCTCACGGTTTCAAAGGTCTTAGTCCATAGACGGGTGGCTCCATTCCTCAGGCCTCAAAGTGAGGCTGAGCATCATGGTGGGAGAGGGTTGCAAAGAGAAGCAGCTCACATCATGGTCATCAGGAGGTAGAGATGCTAATGGCCATATATAAAGATGTTCACCAAAGCCACACCGTAATTCCCACCTCCTCCAGCCACACCCTATCACTTCAGTTACCACTCAGTTATTCCTATCAGGGGATTAAATCACTGATTCGGATAAGACTCTTACAACCCAATCATTTGTTCT